CCTTCATGGGAGAGTGGGCCTCTGTACTTGGGAGAGATGGCCCCAACTCACCCCACAGGCAGGGGTGAGCCGACCCTGAGGGTATGGGTATAGGGGAGCTGACGCCAGCCTCCTCACCTGAGGCGGGTGGCCCCAGGGACCCAGACTGACCTGCTCAGCTACCACTCAGGCCCACAGCCAGGCCCTGGGTTGGCTCACCCTAACATGTACCCCATCTAGGACCTGCGGGCGCTTGTGAAGGGACTGGTCCTGGGGAACAATGCCCACAGGATTTCTATGACTCTGGGCCTCCTCGGGATACCCCAGAGAAGTTCCGGTGAGGACCCAGGGATGACGGTGTGCCAGAAACCAGAGGTCTTAAACCAGAGCAGTGACTCGTTACAGTGACCATTTGCTAGGAAAGCTGATTGGACAAGAGGGTCTACCATACGGCACGCGAGGATTCCACAGATGAAGAGTGCCAGAAAGGCGGGAGAGAGGGAGAAACAAGGAGTTTCTTTTTGGGTTTGTTTTGTTCTTGTTTTTGCTTGCTTGTTTGCTTTGCTTTGAGTTTTCCTAAAAATTTTATTTCGTGGGGGGAAGGGCACAGCAGGGGTGAGGGGAGGGAGAACCAGGAGGTGAGCAAAATTGGGGTGCATGATGTGAAACTCCCAAAGAATGGGTAAAGAAATTACATTGAAAAAAAAAAGACGTTAATCCATTGTTTCCAACAAACGTCATTGTAATAAATCTCTCTTTCTGCACACACAGTGTGAAGCCATAAAGACAATGGTGATAAAAGTGAGCAGACAGCATTCACAGCTGTCAATCTGTAAATCTCCAGTGGGGTGGGACGGAGGGAGGGAGGGAGAAGGTTAAAGGAGTGGCAGGCTGCTCCTGGCTCTAGATGACTTCATACAGTAGGAAACATTCAGGCTGTGCTTTCCCCATTTTGTAAGCAGCATTTAGCTTCGCTGAAGGCACAGATCCTGCGGCAGAATGAATGTGCACCTCATTCCCGCTGTGAACCCCAGGAGCTGTGCAGCACTCCCTAGGAGGTACTGATGAATGACTCACACCTAAACGTGCCCACTACAGACTTACCAAGTAGAGGGACCCACTAAAACCACATCAGAAAAACCAGGCTGAAGAGTGCATCAAACAGACTAGGCCAACAAAGGATATAATGCTCTCACCTGAGCCACAGATAAAGAAGGATACCTGGCAATGGATGACAGTGGTCCCACTAGCCTGTCATCTCATCCCCCAGTGCACACATCTCACCCCCCAATGCATACCAAACTCCTGATTGTCCTCAGGGCTTCAGCACATCACCAAGTCCCACTACCTGCCTCCCTGGGCCACCGAAATCATGGTCTGTCCATCCAGTGACCTTGATTCTGCTGGACTCCGTGATCTTCTGGCTCTACTCTGATCACCTTCATACACCTCTAGCTGGGTTCATAAGTGTCTAATCATCTGCAGTGGCTTTCTCTACCTTTCTACTGGCTCTGCCTCTACTTCCAGTAAGGGCTCTTTGAAGTCTGTGACCTCTCTTATATCTTTCTATATACCTACATATATGTGTATACACTCTCACACACACATATATTCTATAACTATACTTACATGTATACTCTCTCTCTCACACACACACACATATATATATATTTGATAACTACACATACATGTATACTCTCACACACATATATTCTATAACTACACTTACATATATACTCTCTCACACACATATATATTCTATAGCCTACATATACATGTATACTCTCTCACATACATATATTCTATAACTACACATACATGTATACTCTCTCACACACACAAATATTCTATAACCTACATATACATGTATACTCTCTCACACACACAAATATTCTATAACTACACTTACATATATACTCTCTCACACACATATATATTCTATAGCCTACATATATTGTGTGAAGTATTATGTATAATCTGAGTTAATGTTAGTTATTAAGATCAGAATAAAAGAACTGGTGATTGCCAAGAGTTGTCCAGCAAAGGAAATCAGAACTTTTTGATATATACCAGGGAAAAAAAAAGAAAACTTTACATAGCTTGTGACTTTATTGTTAACAAACAGCATGATTGAAAGCTGTGAACCGGCACAGCAGGCCAATGGAGTTGGGTGACACTATTACTTAAGAGGAGAGAGACCTGGTCAAGTTTGTAGGTCAAGAGTAAGGTTCAGGGCCTGAGCTCGGAGCTTCAGCAGAGCAGAGGAGCCCAGAAAGAGACAGGGGCCTGCTGGAGAGAGGCCTCTGAGTTTGTGTTTCAGGGTCCTAGTCTATTTTCTGACACCCTAACCAAAAGCAACCTGGAGAGGAAAAGGCTTTGTTCATCTTACACTTTCACATCACAGCCCACCAGGGCAGGAACCTAGAGGAAGGAACTGCAAAAGAATGCCATTCCCCAGGGCTTACTCAGCCTGCTTCATTGTATAACCCAGGCCCACCTGCTTAGGGTTGGTACCGCCCACGGTGGGCTGGACCTTCCCACACCAATCATTAATCGGTAGAATGCCCCTAGGCCAATCTGATGGAGAAATTTCCTCAGTTGAAGTTCCCTCTTGCCAAATGACCATAGCCTGTGTCAAGTTCACACACACACACACACACACACACACACACACACACACGCACGCGCACACCCCGACCCACACTCTAGAAATACAGAGCAGACTGTGAGCTCACTTCCTGACTAGGAGGAAGAAAGAAGTGGTGGGAAAGTTCAGAGAGAATTAGTCAAGGGTGAGGAAGAGCGCCGCGGTGGCTTCTCCAGCAGCCCAGAAGATTCCAGAGCCGGTCAAGCCGGTTCACAGTCATGCCTCTGCCACTCTCAGCACAACGGTATCGTCTGAGCTACTTTTCCTATTTCTGTGTTGAAGCCCCTGACAAATGCAGCTGAAGGAAGTGGGGGGGGGTTCTACTTTGACTGACTGTCCATCATGGCAGGGAAATCACGAGACAGCTGCTGGGTCCATTTGCATCTGAGGTCGCAAGCTGAGCGCACTGAGTGTCTGTACTCAGCTAACCTTCTTCCTTCTGTGTAGTCCAGGGTCCCAAACCATGGGGGGGGGGGCTTCCTGTCTTAATGAACTAGATTAACTAGCTAAACTTTCCCAAGCAAGAGGAAAGGTGTCTCCTAGGTGACTCTAGACCCTATGAGACTGACAGTCTATATTAACCACGACAGAAACTGAGTGAGCTACTCTGCCTTGTTTTTTGATGCCGGCAAGACACTACTACCATGGAGCGTGTGTTATTTGCATCAAGGAATGTGTGAAAAGCACGCTGTGTTCTTTTTAGCTGATTGGTGAACTAAGACATTGTCTCGATGTGTGGGTTCATTCTGTGTTAGGAGTCTAGAAACTAATAAGCAGGAAAACTCATATTCATTCTCTCTCTCTCTCTCTCTCTCTCTCTCTCTCTCTCTCTCTCTCTCTCTCTGTTTCTCATGTGGGCAAAAAGTTCATCTAAAGCTATCAAAGCCCTAAATCCCCCTGGATTAATAATGAACACAAGTCCCCCCATCCCTCTGTCCCTCTCTCACACTCTCCCATGCTCTCCCTCTATGTTCTTCTCCGTCTCTCTCTCTCTCTCTCTGTGTGTGTGTGTGTGTGTGTGTGTGTGTGTGTGTGTGTGTGTATGTGTGTCTCCCCCGGCCCTTGGGTATTTTCTTGTTTTAGACAAGACTCATATATCCCAGGCTAGCCTTGAACTTAAGGGTTGGGCATCCTTAGATGCACCATCTAGGGTGGACCAGTAGGTGGAGACTCAGCAAAGCGTCTGCACAGTCATCCAAAGGCCAGCAGCTCTGGCAGAGTCCCTCTTGCAGGGGAGGAATCTTTGATTAAGTGAGATCCATCCACATTAGAGAGGACTTCCAGCCTTACTCAGAGGTCATTAATTTAAGGTTAACTTCATTTCTCACGGAAACATCCAGAATGATGCCTCACCAGATCTAGGCTCCTTGGTCCAGTCAAGCTGACACATGGAACTGACTGACCATCACGGGCCTTGAAACTTCCTGAGGCTGTGGCAGTTAAGGAGCCCTAGACTAATCACTGTCCTAAGACAGAAATTTCCAGAAAACAGTCATGGAAGTAGGAGTGGAAGCTGGGGAGGAAATTAGCCGAAGAGCCAGTTGGGGTATATGAACGTGATCAAAACACATTATGGACATGCATGAAATTATCATAAAATACATTGTTATGTGTAGCCAGCAAGTACTGATATAAATGCAGGAACAGAGGACTCTGAGGATCCCATTTCAGTATGAGCTTTGGTGGGAGCAGGCCACAGATTTTTCCTAGTCTTCCACGCTATTGGTCCACATCAGGCCGCATGTGTGCCCGGTTCGAGGCCTCCGTCAGCCAGGAAGAACTATCACCAAGTTATAGATTTGCCAATCTTACTTCTCTGAAATAATTGCCAATAAAATACACTATCACTGTGCATTTTGGGATAGGCAACTGATAAAACTCAGTTGGGTGAACAATGGAGTTAGCTACTTCAGAGTCAACCGAGAATTCTGAACGATGAGATTAACATCCCAGATCTCCAGTCCCTTTCTGTGGATGTTACTGGCTATTTTCTCAGCTCAGTTTCAAAAGCAAATTGTCAGTCTTATGAATGGAGCTTTTATTTCCTTGGCGATGAGTTTAATTCTCACCATGCACGAGTGGTTTGTTTCCACGGGTGGAGAGCTGGTTCCAACTCTTTATTATTTGTCGTTTTCCTGAATCTAATAGCGTATTTGTCCTCCCATGAAGCACTTCGCTCCTCTTCTCTCCATACAAACTTCATCTTCTCTCTCTAAATACTCCCCGTCTCGCTCTCGAAGTGTCTCCTTGAGGAAGTGACTCTGAAAACCATACCTGTGCTGACGTCTAGTGCGCTACAAAGAAAATTCACCACCTACAGACCTCAAGGGGCCCACCCCATACCCTTTCGGCCACAAATTTAATCACTTGCAGGTTGAGCGCCAAGGAAAGTTTTAATTGTGCGTATGCACTAGATAGCATTTCAGATACAAACGTCAGGCCATCAGCAAGTAGTGTTATCAAAATATGGAGCACGGGAATGTTATTAACGGGTAGAGAAAAACGATACTCAGGGTCCACACATCTGGCTTTCTGCGACTATTTGCAAAGCTTTTGTTGTTTCCATAGCCCAGATAGGCCTGGAGCTGCCTGTGCAGTGAGGATGATCTCGAACTCCTGATTCTCCTGCCTCCAGCTCCCAAGTGCTGGGATTGCAGGTGTGTCCCTCGCCTGGCCATTCACATAAGCATTTACACATAGACTGGATAATATCTTTCCTCTCAGTGAATCCCGTTTTAGCTGTAAGGCGGGATGTGCACTGGGGTTCCATCCACTTTGGTAATGGCTTACTTTCCTTTTTGCGTTAAGACTGCTAAAAGCGTATTTCAAACGCCAACTCGCATGGTGTGCCTGCAGGGAGGGGGACACGGTCTTGTCACGGATGGATTGCTGTGCCACCTGGCTTTACATACTGTCAGGGTTCATCCTGGCACCCTGCAGATCCACCAGCAGCCAGGATCTTGAATGTCCTCGAGGTTTCCCATGGGTGGAATAAAAACGATATTTGTCTCCAAGTGAAATATGGTACCAGCCTTGCCTAACACACTTGCAAGAGATGACTTAACCCAGGCCTGCTGGGCACTGAGCCTAAAAGTGAGTTCCAAGCAGAGGGCATCCGTGATCCACTGAAGCACCAGGGTTAAGGTCCCAGTAAGGTGCCTCCCAGAGAGTTCAGGGCTGCAGTCCCCTGAGAATCCCTCAGAGTCTTCAGATGTTCAACGTCAATGGCACTGTGTGCCATAGGGATAGAACCCTTCCATCCCATAATCATAATCCTGATGGAAGGCATGTGCACTTGGCCAGCCAGAGCACCATGCCCAGGGAAATGGGGAAAGGGCCTTTATAGGACCAGGGGCTGGCAAAGGGATGGAAGTGCCCACTTCCTCTCTCCTCTTACCCCTATATCCCACTGTCTGCCTCAGGGCCCCTGTCAAAGGGCGGCAGCTAGAATCTTCAGACCAATCAGATGAACTCGCTGGATTTCTCTTCAGATTCCAGAACACTTGGAAAGGATAATCCTGCCAAAAGTGGCTCTGTAACCGATGATCTGGGTGACAGGTTGCAGTTAAAAACGTCATCGATTGAACCTAAAACACAGTGAAGAAGGTGCTCATTATGACATCACGACAGGAAGAGAAAGGGCCATCAAAACCCATCCAACACAGCCACTTCAGTAATGAGTCCTGGCTTCCGCGGGGCACTCAAAGAGCTAAACAAAAAATGTGCTGATTTTCTCTCATCAGTGCTAGTTCTGCTGGCTGGGTGGGATGGCATGTGCCTTTAATCCCAGCACTCAGGAGGCTGAAGCTGGTGGATCTCTGTGAGTTCATGACCAGCCTGGTCTACAGAACGAGTTTCAGGCTAGCCAAGGCTACATAGTGAGGCTTCATCAAAAAGAAAAAAAAATGTTAATTGACACCATTGCTATGACTACTACTTGCTTTCCAGAGGGCTGGAGATTTGGAGTAAACAGCAGGTGCTGGGAAACAGATGCTTAGGACAGAGGTCAGAGGTCAGGGGTCAGATTCTGGTGGAAGATGAAAACAAGCCCTCTACTACTGAGTTGCATTCCCAGCTAGAGGTCAGCTTCTGATACCGACAGAACAGACTGCCAACCTTGGTGGGCTGCCAGTCAGTCTGAGAGCTGGGTGCCAGGCTCGGCAGCCTGCCAGTGCGACAGGTGTGCCGCGGCTGTGCCATCAGCAGTGCCAACTCCCAGGCAAGTCCTCTCCATTGCTCCCGAGCTGAGGAGGCCCTAGGCCTGGCTCGGGCGAAACTTTCTTGGAAGCGCAACACTTTCATACCCCATGTGCCCTAGGGGAAACCCTATGCAGGGACAGAGGGTGAGTCACTGTGATGCAGGAATGCTGCCCTGGATGCTGGGGCCAGTGGGTAAGACTGAGGCCCAGGCAAAGATGGCACAGCCAAAGCAAGGCGAGACCACCCACAATGCTTTGGATTGTAACGTGAAGGAGAAAGCACAGGCAGAGAGATAAAGCTAAGACAAGATGGATTGGGGATGGGGATGGGGGGATGAAACAGACAGAAGCTGAAATGGGGGGAACAGAGATCAAGAGAAAAAGAGGGAAAGAGTGGGACATTGATGGAGGCAGAGGGCGGGAGGGAGGGGGAGAGAGGAAAGAGGGAGAGAGACAGACAATTTCCAGGATAAGAAGCCCCTGAGTAAGGACTTCCGCTGCACACAGAGGAAGAAAGAACTGCCATTAAATGCAATCAATCTAGACCGTTGACATCTGCCTTGCAGAGCACTGCGGGACCCTGGGCCCAGGTTTCTGCAAACACTCACCTGATTCTGGAAGCGCTCTGGGGTCCAGGCTAGCTACCCCTCAGAGAGCATCTCACAGAGGAAGGTGCCATCTGCCTAAGCTAGGCTCATTTCAAAACCAAGAGCCCGCCATATGTCATGTTGGGTTGGTAAACGAAACCTTCCCAGGAGTTATTCTTGTAGTATCTGAGAGCCCTTCTGAACACACCGTTGAGACAGAGACCACGGCCACGGAGCCTGCAAGCTGGCCGATGGCTCTGTTACCGGGAGTGCACACAGATGAAATGGGGGATGCGACACTCTTTCCAAAATAGTTGAACCCTGTACTCAAGTGAGCACCAATACTAAAATCAACAGCTTTTCATTTAAATTAGCATTCTGCACTTGCTGCATCAGATAACCGATGTCAGAAAGCTCACTACCTCTCTCTTCCCCTTTGCTTTCTTTGTCCATTTCTCCTCTTTTCTTTTTGTCTGAAACAGGATCCCTTCCCCCCATGTTGCCTAGGCTAACCTCAAACTCCTGGGCTCAAGTCATCCTCCTGCCTCACCATCATATCGAGCTGGTAGTCAGGTACGCACCACTGTGCCCTGCTTCTCATTTAGGCTAACAAGCACCTCTTATTCCTACCTCCCCAAGTTGCAGGTAGCAGGTGCTGATCTGGTCCAGCTATGTAGTCTAGGCTGGCACTGAGCTCCCAGAGCGCTGGGATTAAAGCTGTGTGCCCAGGTATCATCGTTCTCTTTGGATGGAGGCAGACGGCCACTTGGCTCTCACTCCGGGCTCCACCCTTTGAACCAGCCACCTTTCCCACCCGCTGAGTGTGTGACAAACCTCTAGACGTGACACTGAACTTCCGGTCAGAGAAACTACTCCTTCGGATTAGAGGTTCGCTCATTTTTTCCAGAAATAACTTAATTGTTTCTTTCTTTTCGGGGTTCATGCTCGTCAAGTTCAGAACCTTCCCGCGCACTTTTACGGTGGAATTGCTGAGCCCAAACCAGTAAAGGAAATCGAACAGGGCGTCCGCCTTGAATTCGTAGGCAAAGTTCAAGTTCTGCCCATTCAGCACTTCAGTACCTGGAGGAAAAAAATTCTGCACGACTTCCTGGAAATCAAACTGAGAGAGAGAGAGAGAGAGAGAGAGAGAGAGAGAGAGAGAGAGAGAGAGAGAGAGAGAGAGAGAGAGAGAGAGAGAGAGAGAGAGAGAGGAGTTAAATGACATGCGTACAAAACCACATGGATGGGGCTGGAGAGGTGGCTCAGTGGTTAAGAGCATTGGCTGCTCTTCCAAAGATCCTGAGTTCAATTCCCAGCAACCACATCGTGGCTCACAACCATCTGTAATGAGGTATGGTGCCCTCTCCTGGCCTGCAGGGATACACACAGACAGAACATTGTATACATAATAAATAAATAAATAAATAAATAAATAAATAAATAAATAAATATTAAAAAAAAAAACCCACATGGACATTACAGAATGTCTGCATCCTTGCGCTCTGAAAAGGCGGTCCACCAGCCAGGGTCACTGGTTGCTTTGTGGAGAGGCAGCCCTTCTGCCGAAAGCCCGGCTCACCTGAAGTCGGTAGCTTTCTCCGATCACTGAGGAAATGGCCATGTCCATCCCTTGCTCTATCTGCCTCCTTATCTTGGGGTGCCTTGTGTTCACAAGAAATGCATAGGTCCTTTCTAGAAGAGGCAAGCAGAAGTCAGAAAAAGCGTGACCCAAACATGCTTCTTCCGGTTAGCAGAAGCACGCCCCGAGCCTCTTCGGAAGATTTTATGCATCTGTTCTCTTTCCCGATAGCTTCCTTGGGTGCCCAGCTAGACTTCTAGCAATGTTCCCCAGAACCTTGTCGGTGTGAACAACGCTCTGGGCTACTGTGAACGCAGGCTTGGGCTTCAGCTACCTTGGAAATGAAAAGCCCCTTATGTGAGAACTTCCTCTCCACAGTGTGTCTCCAGTGTGGAAAAGGTTCTTTCTGCAATTTCTTTTTTACATTTGTTTATTGATTGTGTGTGTGTTTATGCACGCGCACACACAGAAGGCAAGGGACAGCTTGCTCCAGTTGGTTCTCGCCTCTACATTGTGGTCTCCAGGATGGAATTTAGGCTCCCTAAGATGGTAAGGCAGGGGTACGACCCCCACAGGGGTTGGATATCAGATATTCTGCATATCAAATAGTTACATCATGATTCATAACAGTAGCAAAACTATAATTATGAAGTAGCAGCCATAATTTTATGATTGGAGACTCACAACAATGTGTGGAATTGTACTAAAGGGTTGCAGCATTAGGAAGTTTGACAATCACTGCTTAAGATATCTCCATTGCTCTAGGCTAGAGTCCCAAGCACCAAGGCCTTGGAGGTGGAGTCTGGTCCCCGAGTCTTGCGCAACACACACAATATAAACAAAGGGAAGATTGTTTCTTCATTTTAAAAAAATTGAAATATTATTAACCAATTATCTCTTTCCCAGCCAAAGAACCAAGCCCAAATTAGTTTATCAAGCAAAGCAAAGCACTCATGCCAGTCTCTGCTTCCAGGCGTGGACCGGCTGTTATATGGTTTTGAGAATATCTATTGCCTTTGAGATATCTCAGAGGCAAATTCTGTGGGCCAAAGGCAAACATTTACATTTTTAAGGAATATGTTTTTTGAAGATTTATTTCTTTCAATTTACGTATATGGGTGTTTTGCCTGCATGTATATCTGTGTGCCGCTTGGTTGCTTGGTGCTCTCAGAGGCCAGAAGAGGACGCCATATGCCTAGAACTGGATTTGCAGCTGGTGGTAGCTCCACCTGGGTGCTGGGACTAGAACCCAGGTCCCATGGAAGAGCAGCCAGTGTTCCTAACTGCTGAGCCATCTCTCCAGCCCTGAATGCATTTTATACTAATCTTACTCATTTTTAGTTTTCTGACCCACGTTTTCCCTCCTCCTGAATTTTTAAAAGGAGCTTTAGATAGAAACCACATTATCTGCTATTTGAGATGAGGGATAAAGCCAACAGCTACTTGGAACCCAGAACAAAGGCTCATTAGATGCCCAGGTCTGGCCTATGCTAGGCAGGAGGCACACTGCACACTCACAGATCTGTCGGTCTGCGTGTTTACCACGACAGGCTTCTAGAAGACCGCAGAGCTTGTCTGGAGGACGGGAGCTCCTAATTTGCATAAACTGTGGTCTAGAATAGCAGGAGGGCTGACATGTTGCCTTAGTTACAGTCATCCTCGTGCAAGCTTAGCCATCTTTTGGGTTTGATATTACAGAACTTTTTCATGCCCTCGCTTTTTCCACAGCTGGCCAGCTGTTGTGGTCCTATATCTTTACCCGTAGACGTTACCATGCAATTAGTTACGCATGCTCTCTGAACCTCTCGCAGATTCCTTCTTGTGTCACTCTTGGAACTTTGATGAAAATGCTGAGGTAAGAGTTCTCATTCTTTCTTTAGATCCCTCCCGGGGGAACAAGTCAGGGGGTGCACTTGTACATCTGTGAGTTACAATCCTGGAGACCTGGCCAGCTTCCAGGACATCACCAAACCAGATCACACGCGGTACTAGGATGTGGCTAGTCATATGAGGCTGGTCACCGCTGGCTGTGCTCTGGCCTCTCCAGCAAACAAAACATTCTCACTTTGAGTTGGGATGATGAACAGAGAGTGCTCCAGTAACCGAGAGGGCAGAGAGTGCTCCGGTTACCGAGGGGGGTTGAGTGAGTCTGTCTGAAATGAGCCGTCACTAGTTATCACCTTGAACTCTCTTTAGGAATACTACTTAGGCCAGGTGGGTGGCACACATTTTTAACCCTAGCACTCAGGAAGTAGAGGCAGATGAATCTCTGTGAGTTTGAGGGGCCAGCCTGGTCTACAGAGTGAGTTCCAGGATAGCTAGGGCTACACAGTGAAACCCTGTCTTTATTTATTTGTTTGTTTTTATAAAAACAAAGTTTCTCTGTAGCTTTAGAGACTGTCCTAGAACACCCAGAAACACAAAACCTAAAGTACCTACAACTACCCTCAAGATTATATTTATGTACATACATATTAGTTTCCCTCATCTTTAAAACAAGGACAGAATATTTACTCCACAGGGAGGCTGGCTCTGCATCCTGCCACAGTGAACTTTATACCTTCATCCTAGGTAAATCATTAACTGTGGAGACAGAGGGATGAATCCGTGCTAAAAGCACAAACTGTTCTTACAGACCACCTGGCTTTGGTTCCCAGTGCCCACTTCAGGTGGGTGACAACTGCCTGTAACTCCAGCTCCCCGAAATCCAATGCCCCCGCCTGGTCCCCCAAAGATACTGTACACACACAGGTACATGTACCACTCTGGACACACACATAATTTAAAATGAAATTTAAGGACTGGAGAGATGGCTTGGAGGTTAAGAGCACTGGTTGTTTTCCAAGAGATCCTACATTCTATTCTCCGAACCCACACAGCAGCTCACGACCATCTGTAACCCCAGTTCCAGGAGATCCAGTCCCCTCTCTGGCCTCCAAGGATACCAGGCAAGTAAGTGGAACCTAGATCTATGTGGAGACAAAACACCCACCCATCTATACAAAATACATTGAAAAATAAGAACCTTAAATCTTTCTCAAAGATAAATGATCAGCTGTACCTATTTTCATGCTCGAGTCAGCCCCATTTGGACCACAGGCCCTGCAGGTTGTTAGTCCAACTAGTGATGAGAAAACACGCCTCAGACACAATATTTGATACATGAGGGTTTCACTACTCCGACCATTCCTCCAACCCCAGAAGGACCAGAATGTCAAATCATTTCCTGTCTAGAAAGGAAGTCAAACCTCTGAAGGCTTTGTGTCAGGTCACTTCCTTCCTGAACAGGGAGTGAGAAGTGTGTGGAGGGGGTGTCCATCAGTCGAGGTTCGCTGAGCCAGCCTTGCGTACAGCGCTCCAAATGGCTGCGCAGAGCAGGTTGCTCGCTGTTGCCCTTGGCGTGGCTGACGTCTATCCTCCCTTCTTTGGGCCTCTCTCCTACCTTAGCCCTCCACCCAGCAAGGCCGAACCAAATGAAGACTATTTAAACACCTACCTTTGGATGTGTCCTTCTTGGTCTGCACGTTAGTAAAGAACAGCATGGGCTTGCTCAATATCGTTTCCCTGTAGTCTTTATAATCAGAGTAGGTGGTCAGTTCCACATATCTGCGGGAAGAGGAGAAATAACAGCAGATGTAGCGCCCGCTCCCACATGAGGAAGGTGACGTACTGACTGGACGTAAGCCTACCTCAGCCATAGCCTTTGAGGAATGTTTCCTTTTTTATATATTTATTTTTATTATGTATAAAATATTCTGTCTGTGTGTATACCTGCTGTCCAGAAGAGGACACCAGACCTCATCACAGATGGTTGTGAGCCACCATGTGGTTGCCAGGAATTGAACTCAGGACCTTTGGAAGAGCAGGCAATGCTCTTAACCACTGAGCCATCTCTCCAGCCCTGAGGAATGTTTCTTAAAACGTGTCCTAATAAAGGTCACCGCATCTTACACACATAAGGAAATCCCATTCGTGTCGTTGCTAAGTGACTGAGGGGTCTATGGTCCTTGGGGTGGATTGGTATCAACGTGTTGCTTTGAGAGAAGCCTTTGCCTGATGCGACCAATGCCCTACAACACATGAGCAAAGCTCTTGTGAAGCTATCAGAGCCTCGAGTTCCCCCGGATCAAAGATGAACAACCCCACCCCCGTCTCTCTCACTCTCCCATGCTCTCCCTCTGTCTATGCTCCTCTTCCTCTCTGTGTCTCCCGCCTGGTGTGTGTGTGTGTG